GTTTTAGGTGTGGTAAGGTGTGAGACATTAGAGTTTAGGCGAAAACGAAATCTATTAATACATTACAGTAAGATTCTTAGAAGTGACATAGATAGCCCAGTAATGCTTTAATCTGTTCGTTTGTTTGTGCCTCAAAATTATACGCGATTAGGTATTCAACGGCGACTTCAACTGCGTACCCAGACGGTGTTCGCGCGAAACACGCCCGCAACTCTCCCACACCTCGGGCTCTTGCCTTGCTCAATACTCTCCTGGACGAGGTCCATGATGCCGATGTGCTCACCGACAAGTTACCGAAACTAATATATAATTTTGACATTTTTTTAATAACTACTTGATATGATCATAGGGTGTTTTATTTTATTTCTGTCTTATTGTTTATAATTTTATGTATTGACTTGTACTTATGACTAGCATTAAGTGCTTTGGCACACCCCGGACACTCCATACGACAGTCGAAAGTTAGTTACCTACTACTACTATATACAGCAAGGCGCTATCTGCATACGCGCAAAAGTGTGCGTGTAGTGGAAGGGTTACCCGTCACTATCTCGTAGGTACTATTATGTTACGATAGCGCAAAATCTAACGCGAATCTGTGATCTATAATTCTATTAGTAGAATTCTAATTATTACATATGTCAATATAATATAGTATTTTTCATTCATATAGTTAATTCACTAACTAGAATAATACTGAAGATTTATTTTAAAAATGCACTAAAAGCACTTAAAATGTTATATTTTGGACAGGTTTTTTTTAAATAACGTAACCAACGTATTTTAAATTGCGTGTCTAACTTTATCATTACCTAGTTAATAATTAAGTATATTCACTACGTAATATTTATCGGCAATACAAATTGGTAATTCGAGAAGCTTTGTCTACTAGATCACGAAGTTATGGCGTCTCATTATATTGATATAATAAATCTGTATTATGTATTACTCTGCACTAAATAAACGAAGAAAACCATAACTGAATGAGTCTCAGATAAGTTTATTTTACTAGTTTTTTTTTCATCTTTCGGAAAACGAAAGAAACTCCCCCCTTTATCCTGTTTAGATGATGATAAACGGCCGAATACAGCACAATTCACAACCATTATAAATAGTAACGTAAAATGATGTTATATATTAACGTACAAGTTTCCTAATGATTAAATATGAAAACTATATTCTAATTTCAAAGCCGAACGGCTCGCCGACAGCCTTGTTCTCGTTCAGTCAATGTGTCCGTCAATGTGCGGGGCGTGGTGCGGTATCTAAAGCTAGGGAGGGGCGGTGAGTGTCCGTTCTCGTTACTTTTTTGTTCTCTAGCTTTGTGTGACATTGTAAACTCTCAATGTATTCTTTTTAAATAAATAGATATGCGTTAATTTCAACGATTAGTATAAATCCAAAGCATTCTAAGTATGTTCAATTAAATAAAATCTTAAAAGAACTTATCTCGACCTGCCATTGTTGAATGATAACATCCAGTGGCGTCTTTTCTTTTGGTTCTTTTTGTTAGGTAAGCTCAAACCTGTGGTAGTCTCGTTCACCGTCCGGAACAATTATTGAACAATTATTATTATTAATTTGGTCGAGTATTACGTATTTTAAATTTTTATTGAATTGATATTCAATTATTTGTTGTGAAATTACTCCACTAGTTTGTTATAATTATTAATACAAAGATCAAACACTCAGAAAAAATTCCTTCGATCCGGCCGGGTTCGAACCGACGTCTTCTAGCTTACCGTGGCAGACGCTATACCAACTAAGCAACGGAACGAACCAGTGAATAGCGACATCTCTCGCCAGGGCTGGTAACTGTAAAGATATCTAACTGGGTGATAAAAAACTTTCATAGATTTCTCATAGATGGCGCTACTACTAAAAAGTCGAAAAAACCAAATACAAAGATACGACGCTAACACATAGAAAAATTCGTGAGGTCCGCTGGTTCGCTCCGTTGCTTAGTTGGTATAGCGTCTGCCATGGTAAACTAGAAGACGTCGGTTCGAAGGAACTTTTTCTGAGTGTTCGATCTATGTATTAATAATTATAACGAGTATTAATTACGTATTTAACAGTTAATGTTTGTTAATAAGGGCGCATTTATTCGATACGAACGCCCAAGCCGCGCGGAGTCCGCGTTGCCTCTGCGCAGCGACCGCGTGCATCTAACAGTTATGGGAAAATACGCTATATTATTTAGCTTTTACTCATTTGTTCTCTGTTTTTACGTTTTAACTTAAATGAGCGTCTCGGGCGCGCGGGCGAGTCTGGCTTGTCTTTAGTCTTGTTTGGCGCGACGACCGCGCGGCGACTGCGTGATTGTATTATTCCGAGAAATTTAAATGTTGTTTGCCTACTAAGTAAAATTCAGATTCGCCATTAATGTACGGGAAAGCGAAGTAACTGGGCGGTCGCCGCGCAGCGTGTAACTAAACCCTAAGAGTACAGGTTATTAGAGCTCTCCACTCACACCGAATACGTGTCGCGGTGCGGCCCTAGAAATCACTAGAATACCCAGTGTTGGGCGTTAATCAATTAAATTTCAATCAGAAATTCAATCAGGTTAAAAATCAATTCAATTGAAATCAATTGATTTTAATTGCAATTGATTTCAATTGAATTGATTTTAATTGCAATTAAATTAATTGCAATTAATTTTTTTAGTTGTTCTAAGAAACAATTGAAACTAACAATTAAAACCGAAAGTACCAAATAAAATTGTCATTACGAATATGGGTTAGGGGGTGAGTTAGGGGTGTGTTAGGGGGTGGGTTAGGGGGTCGGGTAGGGGGGCGTTAATCAATTAAATTTCAATCAGAAATTCAATCAGATTAAAATACAATTCAATTGAAATCAATTGATTTTAATTGCAATTGATTTCAATTGAATTGATTTTAATTGCTATCAAATTAATTGCAATTAATTTTTTTAGTTGTTCTAAGAAACAATTGAAACTAACAATTAAAACCGAAAGTACCAAATAAAAGTGTCATTACGAATATGGGTTAGGGGGTGAGTTAGGGGTGTGTTAGGGGGTGGGTTAGGGGGGGTCGGGTAGGGGGTCGGTTGGGGGGCCGGTTCGGGAGCCGGTTAGGGGGCGGTTGGGGGGCCGGTTTGGGGGCCGATTGTGTCCGTTTGGGGGGTCGGTTGGGGGCGGTCAGGGGTGAGTGACCCACCAATACACCCGCTCACCCACCTACTCACCCACCCACTCACCCACACACTCAAACCCACTCACCCACACACTCACACCCACTCACCCACCCCCTAACCGCCCACCTAGCCCCCCTAACGGCCCACCTAGCCCACCCTCTATCCCACCCGCTGACCCACCCCTAACCCACCTCCTAACCCACTCCTAACTCGCCCCCTGACCCACCCATGGCCCACCCCCTGAACTTGTTAATCAAAAACATTGAAAAGATTGAAAATTGATTAATTGTTAATTGTAGATATATGCGATTAACAATTGATCAATCGTTAATTGCTGTTTGGCAATTGACAATTAATTAATTGTCAATCTTTAATTGCCAGAACAATTAAATTTTGCCCAACACTGATCATATCGAGCCATTTGTTAAAAGAATTACGAGTATACTTACTATAAACTAGATAAATAAAACGTTCATTTAATCACAATTAAAAATAAATACTGATGACAATCAGTTTTATATCGAAAAAAAACCCAAGGATTATCGATTAATCGGAAATTTACGATAATTGCCTGCCCTACTTTCCTCCGTCTATCTCAACTGACCATCCCTAATCGTTATTAAACGAGAATGTACCTAAATGGAAACTACTTTCTTTTTTTTACGTTACTACGTTTCCCAATAGTTCCACACTCGTAATAATGAGGCTAACAAATAACTACTTTTTTCAGTCATGGACAAATGACACAAGAGCATTGCTAATCGCAATACAAGATGGCGTAGTCGGGGATTTAGTACTTACTGGGACATGTCGCGTGCATTTGACCTCCATCTCACCTGATAGGAAGTGACGATGAGGTCGACGATGGAGCATGCACATCTAAATAATGCCTATTCACTCTCGCCTCGAAAAGGTCCAAGTTGTAACGTTCCGGGAACTAATCAGGCAGGGAATTCCACTCCATAGCCGTTCGCCATATAAATGTGGAAGTGTAATCGTGCGAATCTCTGGAATATCCACAACTTAAGAGTGGAATCCAAGCCTACGCCTAGTCCCCCGAAGATGGAAAGGGAAAGCGGAATTAAATCGTGTAATTCCATCGCTCTCTGTGATATATCCTGTAAAATACCTATAAGCAGGCAACTTTACGGCGACGTTCAAGGCTTTCCAGCTTCGCCTCTACTAATTCCGAGTCACCTATAATAAGCCCTTGACACGCTTGTCTATTGAATCCAAAGTGGCCAGTTGGTATTTAGCAGAGCCATCCCATAAGTGGCAGCAGTACTCCAAACACGACCGGACTTGTGCTTGACTTGTAACAATTTGTTTTAAATTGACAAGGTGCAATTTATCGAAACTACTGTAATTTCTAGTGATAACAAACAAATCAACTAGATAGCGCTTCTTCTTAGCGTGCATCTTCTGACGTTTATATTTGTGAGGACAATGTATAGGTACTCTTCAATAATAAGATTCCGATTGATGTTCAAAATTTGCCATTTACGAGGTTTAAAACTAAAATGAAACAAAAACTCTATACTAAAGGCATACTTGGTTGACCAAAATGCCGATCCGCTTAGCTCTTGCAGGTAGTTTCGATCTAATATGTTTATTAAATTAAATATTGTAATGATAAATGTATTCAAATGTATATTTACAAAAAACAATCCCTAGATTTCTTGCTCATTCTTCTCAGGGGATTCTGCCTTACGAATGAGCGATAGTTTAATTAGTACGACGATTTCAAGTGTAATTAGCTTAATAATCATCAAACTTACGAGTTATACTCTCGTCGGTGGTGGGTCTTCCAGTCATCTCTCGTCTAAGCCAGCTCCTTGATCTCCTTATACGACACGACACCGGCCTTTTCCTTTATTTGGTCTATGTAACTGCGCCTATATTGTAATTCCGCTTTGAGGAGTGTGGCTGGAGGGACTCAGGGCTGGATAAATTACGGAACAGTGTGATAAGAGAGCGTTGCGGGGCGGAAGAAGATGTAGTGACAAAGATAGAGAAAGGGATGCTTAGATGGTTCGGACATGTAGAGAGAATGAATGGAAGAAGAGTGACGAAACAGATTTATAAGGCGAGTGTGAGCGGGCAAGTTGGTATGGGTCGACCAAGGAGAACTTATCATGACCAAATTGAAGCCATCCTAAAGAAGGGCCAGGTCAAGAGTACCCTTAATCGACGAGCGTGTATGAAAGCATTGATGCGTGTTGTCTCTGCCTACCCCGATGGGAAAAAGGCGTGAAGTATATGTATGTATGTAACTGCGCCTAGGTCGACCTCTTCCCCTCTTCCCCTCGATCTTTCCCTCCAAAATGGTCTCAAAGAAGTTGTCGTGTCGTAAATGTCAAATCATTTTCCCGAGTCTGTACTCTATACTTTTCAGGATCGTTGGTTTCTCGTTTACTAATTCTCAATACTTCCTCATTGGTATTCTTTTCTTTTCTTATTTCGCCTCGTAATTAGCTTACCTATGAAATAAAGATCATCTGACTTTGACTTTAGTATTTATCATAAAAACTATTTTCCAGACGTCTGGAGACAATAACTCCACGTATTCGTACGACGCCCACTTCTGGCTAGGGTCAAAGACGACGCAGGACAAGAAGGGATCAGCTGCAATCCTCACTGTGACCCTGGATGATATGCTAGGAGGAAAAGCTGTGCACCACAGGGAGATACAAGGACACGAAAGTAGCCAGTTCCTAGGATATTTTAAACCTGGTAAGTATCGCGTTAATTTAATACGGTTAATTTTGTTTGGGTCGAGCGGGGACACCGGCTTTATTTTATTTATTTACAAAAGAAATTAAATCCTCTTCAAAAATGTATATCATAATAGTATACGCCTTCTGTTTAGTTTAATTGGTATTAAAAAAAATCATTGGTATAAATAAAGTATATATTGAATGCAGCGGATAATAGAGACGAAGTAAGGGCCATATATACCGGGTAACACATTAGCGATACAGCTCTTATAAATATCAACTCCCGTTTGCACTGAAATATAGACAGGCCAACTATTGACCTGTGTGTACGTCTTCGTATATTCAAAAAAAATATTCTGTATTTATTGTAATAAAGATAATGTCTCTAATAATGCCGTGCTCTTAGAATAATAAATAATAACGCATAGAAACCTAGTCCGCACACGCTAAGTGAGGCAAATTGAAGCGCGCCCAAAGGGCCAACACGAGCGGGCGGGCCTTCAGTGCTCATGGTCAACTTGCACCGCGAACAGATCAAGAATTTTAGCTAAAAATGACGAAATGTGCGGTAAATGAGTGCAAAAATACGTCAGACAAACATAAAATAGATACTAACATCACATTCCACAAGGAAGTAACGCGTTTCAACTTGTGTTTTTATATAAATATTCACTAAAACCGAAAATTAACCTACTACTAAAACTAGCCTGAACATGAATTTGATTTTTGCCTCACTTGTGACAGTTCGTTTGATATGAAACTATCATTCTATGCGTTATTATTCTAAGGCCGTGCTGTTCTATTCGGTGGTGTGGGAAAAACAGCAAAACATCAAACACGAAATCACATTTCATCGGTAATTAAATATTAAATATGTAATTTTGCAATTTTCGTCCATTATAGCAGAAACAGTTGACGACACCTGTCAATTGTTTCGAACTCGGGCTGGCCAATCGGAGCGCAGTTGTCACAGTAATGATATGGCTGAATGGTTTTCAAACAAATTAAATGACATTTCGTCTCTATTTCTGGTTATATACTCGATGACAGCGGTTTTCTTGTAAAATGTCGAGGAAAGTTTGTGTTTTTTTTTCTAACGAAAATTTTTAGGTATCATGTTTTCACACCGTACAGTAATCAGTGTGTATCCTCAATTAAACTAAAATACATATTTTTTCTAAAGCGATTGATTCAACACTGACCACATAAATAGCGAAATCAACCAAAGCCATTTGAGGTTGTATAGAATCGTAATAATGGAAATTAGAAATAAATTAACTATATATGGCCATGCTAAATAAGTAGGTCAGTCGGTAGAGCACTATGGGCATTTATTATATATAAAAACGGGGCGCAGAGATATTACACAGATACTATGACGTAAGTAAATACTTATAATAGGAAGGAATCGTATGAAGGAACACATCCGAGCAGTAAAAAACAATGATGCACAGAAGTCGGCTATAGCACAACATCTTACACAGACTGACACTAACCACTGGATCGAGTTGCATAGCTCCCAGGTACTCTCGACAGAACGTCACTACATACCACGGTTGGTACGAGAAGCCATCGAGATCACGAAGTACAAAACATTTAACCGTGATGATGGTTTTAAACTGTCCAGTGCATCCGTGAGTCCAGTGAATCCGGTCCTTAGTGCGTACAGTAATAAAAACAAAAACACCTCGAGTTCAGTTTCGCGTGTGGATACAGTGAGTGTGGTTTGTGTGAAAAAAGTGAGTGACAATGGTAACGCCACAACAAATCGCGATGAAGGTAGTCGTCGACAGCGCAAGAGGGTAGACAGATATGTCTGCTCATAAAGCTGTCATCTGCCGCCGTCCAGTCAACCCGTGACCATGGAGCGTGCAACCGTTCCGAAATATCGGGAAAATAAAAAGAAGTCATACCGTGGTAAGAAACCTGATACTAGTGATAATCATTCAGTGAATAACCACGAAAGTCTTAAAATCTATATACTTATAATAGGAACTAATACAAAATTACACCAGAAAAGACGCGCGCGCATGAAAAAACTTCTAACTGGAACCAATGTTAAACGCGGAGTCTTAGATACTAACTGGAGCGCGCCGCCGGGGTGCGGATCGGTAATCACGCATAAAACGGAAGTTACCGGAAGTCGTTTTGTTATTACCATATTTGGTCATGAAAAAGTGATATTTTGGCAAAACAGGGTCGATGGCGAGAAGCGCCATCTACATTCACCAAGACTAATCTAGTTCCTCGAGGATGGATGGTAGGACGCTTTCGAGTACGCTTCGGGCGCACTAGATAGGGTTGACACGCTATAAAACATATTAATTAGTACCTAGTACGCAGTCTTATGACTGCATGGGATTTTTCATCAGAATAAATACTGGATCCCAAAGTGGTGGTACGTAGAAACTATCTTCCCTGTTGAAACGTTTTTTGTTGTTTGAAGAAAAAATATAAAGGCGACTTAGATCCGAAAAATGCTTTCATTTCCAGTATACATCCAAATCATGCCATTTTGACGGACTCCTAGTTGTTCTAAGGCTTAGTATGCAGGCTGAAAAAGATTTGTACGAATACTCTTTGTATGGTTAATACCGCACGTTAAGTATTTTACCGCGTCAGCACTTTATGTTTAGTTATAATTTCTACACATTGTCAATCAATCAAGGCATCGTCATAAGCAAGCGCGTATTCTATTTCATAATCAAGTAAACGAAATAAATACCATTTTTAAGATCAACAAGGATTCTTTATTTATCAACATTATTATCAAGATAGTTTGTGTAGTAAGAACAAGATGCGAATTTTGGTCCTTCGACAAGCGAGCTAGTGATCTTTTTGTGCCGGCATACAGAATCAAGTTTGTGCACATTTGAACATTTTATTAGCAAGAAAGGTACTTTTTTATATTACACCAAAATTGTCATTTGACATCGATTATATAATTTATTGAAACGCGATAAGTCGATGTATTATCACGTTTGTGCGATAGGTGCATCGTGCGATAGCCTATTAGGGCGTAAAGGCTGATTAATATTCCAGCGTGTCGGGGCCGGGCCGTATATACTTTTGCATGAACTTCATGTCAAAACGGGCAGAGTCCGCGTCACGGCCTAGACACGATCGGGCCACGGCGTCGAGATTTTTTTCCGGTTCCAACCCGACCGATTGAGACACGTCGTAATATGAATGCAATGAAATGAAAAATGAAGAAATGAAATTATTTGTTGGTAACAATGTTACATTACAAGTCAATTATCTATACCATTCAACATTTGTAAAAGCGGACATTACATTAATATTACAATACAACACAAAACAAATATTATTTATAGCACACGGACAAATACGTAATAACAACACAAAAAAGCAAAAATTACAGGTACAGCAGGCGACCTTATTGCTAAATAGCAATCACTTCCAGGCAACCTTCGGGTTACAGGAAAAACAGTAAAATAAAATTATTTGGGAGCGCAACAGACATACATACAACATATTGCACATATAAAAATGAAGAAGAAAATGATAATAATAAAAATACTAAATAATAATATTAATAATGAAATATAGTTACATATAATTACCTACATACATGTTTTGAGTAAAGTTTTGAAAGAATCAACAGATTTAGCGCGTCTGGTCGATTCAGGCAGGGAATTCCACAGTTTGATGCAGCATATTACATTTCAAATCTGTGATTACGTTATTCACGATAAATAATAAAATAGTCAGTTCGTAGCATTCCATTTACAATACATTATAAGTCACAAGTGCATTCGGCACACGGAGGGTAGTCATCGTTGGACTGCAGTGTACTGGACAGTGCAAGAGCAAAATGCTCTCATCATCCATAAAATTTTTGTAAAGCTTGGCAAATTCTCTTTCGGATTCTCGTTATCTCCAGGCAGGATGTACACACCATCTACTTTTTAACCGACTTCCAAAAATATTATATTATATTTCCGGTATTTGTGAACCGATTTTCATGATTCTTTTTTGTTAGAAAGAGGGTACCTCCATAGTGGTCCCATTTAATTTTGAAGAAAATCATCCACCTCTAAGGGTGGCTGTTCACGCATGAAGATTCATTTTTATAAATTTTATTGTAAGGAGCAATTATTTTAATGTTTGATTTTGCTATTCTTCAATTCAAGGCGTTTTTTTCTCTCAATATACTTTGAGTAGTGAGAACCGATTTTTATTATCTCCTGTGTCAAGTCCTGTATCAATAAAACTGAGCAAATAGACGTAATTCCACGCACTTTTGAAGTCGGTTTTTTTTAGTACTCTGTACTATTATTTTCAGATTTTAGATCTATGTCTGTTAAGATCTCCCGTAAGTATTGTGTTATTTTTTGAAGTCGATAATATGTTAGATAGTCCCGTATAGTGGCGAACTAGGGGATGAATCCGGGTTTGTGCACTTTCCGGTAATCGATTTCAATAAAACTCGGCAAAAATAATTAATTTTTAAAAATTAATTCCACGTAGTCGTTTCGGTTTTTTTAGTTCTGTACTGAGATCATTCTAGTTTCAATTTGTGTTTCCAATACTTCGTCGTCAAGAGCTATTGTAATAGCTGCCAATATTGTATTGCCTATTAACTGTTATATAAATAAAAATGTAATGTAATGTAAATATTTCCGAGTATGTTTGGGAAAAAAAAATTACCTTCATCAACATTAATTACGATGATGTTGAATAATAAAGTTAATAGGTACTTCTTAGAAAAAAAATTATCATCCAAAAATAACAATATCTACTTCGTTATTTAGATAACTCAGTAAGATATTAATATAATTAAAGCAATATAGGTATTAATAATTAAATTATTTTGATATAAAGCGTAGATTACAAATTCAAAGAATTGATTGAATAACATTTTTACACTCTTGGAGTAGTAAGACCAGATTACGAGGGTGTGAATTGTTTAGACAAAATAAGATCAATGATGGATCATACTTATCCAGGATATGTTTGTTTGTTGAATTGTTTAAATGACACAATCGCGTAGGAATTGATGTCCAGAATAAAGATTATAATAGCATCGATCTAGTATGTGACGGAGATCCGACTCTTCATGATACTAGTCATAGGGTACATTAAAATTTTATCAGTTCTTATCTTATAGCTTAGTAGTGCCATGGTGGGGTGTTCAATTGACGGTAAATATGTCAACAACATTAGTTATGCCGATGACATGGTGCTGCTGAGCCCCTCGATTAGTGCCCTTAGAAAATTGTTAAAAACATGTGAGAGATATGCGGAGACTCATGGCCTCAAGTATAACGCAAACAAAAGTGTAATGCTAGTGTTCAAGGCAGGTGCTAAACACTATCGTTCTGTGCCGCCAGTCACTCTCGGGGGCATTACACTTGAAACAGTGTCGGAATTTAAATACTTGGGGCACTGGGTCACCGAGTCGCTTAAAGATGATATGGACTTAGAGAGGGAACGCAGGGCGCTGGCTGTTAGAAGTAATATGTTGATCCGTAGATTTGCAAGGTGTACAGTAGAAGTGAAAGTCACCGTATTTAAAACCTACTGTCAATCATTTTATGCCTGCAATCTGTGGACGGCATTTACTCAAAAGGCATACAGCGCCCTACATGTCCAATATAATAATGCATTCAGGATGCTGTTGGGGCTGCCGCGCTACTGCAGCGCGTCAGCAATGTTCGCAGAAGCCTTTACGGGTATCCATTTTAAGAAAGCGACAAGCCTCCCTAATGCAGCGGGTGCGCGCCAGCACCAACAGCCTCCTTACTACAGTAGCAAATAGAGTTGATGGTCCTTTCAATGAACGTCTCAACTCGTTGCATGTAGTGCCCTCTAAGTGGGCTGTAGAATAAAAGTACTCGTAAATATGTACATAAGTAAATGTCATGTAATAAAGTAAACAATGTAAATTACTAACATAGTTTATAAGTCTGTTACTAATTATATATGGATTCAGGTCCGAAATAAATGCTTATTCTTATTATTATTATTATTATTATAGTATTTGTTTGTTTTTCTCGCAGTATGTGTGTTATACGAATGTGTATAAAATTAATGATGAATGTTCTATGTGCTTTTATATTATATTCTGTGAAGTGATTGTAAATGTTTTGTTTCTCTTTGTATTTGTGCGGAATAAACCTGTTATCTATCTATCTAAATAGTATAAAGTTGTCAATTAATTTCGTTGGTAGAATGTTTAAGCCTGAAAAGTTATCATTTTTCAGATGTGGTCTTATTACACCAAGAGTACAAAATGTGATACGGTACATTTAAATTACAGCCATAAGATACCTTGAAGGCGGCAACGAGTCCGGATTCACCGAAGTAGACACGAACGCGGGAGCTGAGAAACGCCTGCTGCGACTATCTGGTTGCGAGAACATGAGGATTGAGGAGGTGAATCTAGTTTGTAGCTTTGTTTTATCCAAAAAATTAATAGACTGGGAAACGTAAGGGTAAGGTAGCCACCGGCGGCTATCGTAACTGTTTGTCTAAACACTAACAAGCCATTTCTCTTTTACTTGCGCGAAAGCTTGAATGCGCGATAGTTCATAGTAGATCTTGACTTCAAAACGCTGAGTACTGTAAGTGGTATTATATTTTGTGACAATGTTATATACTAGCTATGCGCATAGTTAGAATACAGCACTTAACGCATTTTAGAGATAATTGCACAGTGTAAATTTTCGCAACCGATTGTTGTACAACGTACAAATAAATAGGTAGTTGCCTCAATATTGGATATCTAGGTATCCACAATACTAGATATCCGATATTGGGGTATCTATATTACAGGTTGTGTAGTGTCTTTCATATTTAAATGTTTAACTATTTGTTTAGATGGGGGATCATTAAAAACGATGACTGTTTAGCATTGACTTACAAATAAATGGACGACGGGTCTAATACAAAAACCACAAAAAAAATGTCCCAAGTCAACCTATTTAAACGTAGTGACATGTAAAGGAATATGAAAAAGCTAAAACGTTGAATTTAAATTGTAATGTCATCGCGGTACTGTCTAATTTTGCTTGCTTCGCTGTCAGTCGAACAAATGAAGACTAAAGCGTGAATGACGCTCTGTATACGATTTTAACGCCCTATAAGTTCGGACACTTTTTAGCGCGGACCCGACGTCCATATAATTGTAAGTCAATGCTGTTTAGATTTTTTTGCCTACTGCCTTTGCAAATTTTAAAGGATCATTTAAATACATGCCCTGGTTAATAGAGTGTACCCTATACTGGATATAATATATTGAGTAGTTATACCCTGTACTGAATAGGTTATTAGGTTACGTATGTGAAAACGTCGCAAATAAACTATCGCACATTCGCAATCACCTAGTACATCCAATTTGGGTACTCTTTATTAGAAGGGTTTGTAAAAACCTTAAATACTCTTCAGGTACCAGCAGACTCCACATCACTGACCAAAGAGCACTGCTTCATACTGGAAGTAGACCATGACATCTTCGTGCTAGTGCCTGAAGGAGCTAAAGCTACCCACAGAAGGAAGATCATCAGCGTCGCCAATAAGTTGAGGGATGACGATCATAACGGACGAGCTACTATTGAGATCATTGGTAAGTATTGTGACAGGTACCAAAGAAGTTAAGAGGGAGCAGAGGAAAAATTCCTTATCTTCGATTTGATTTTAGAGGGGTATATCCACTTTAAAGTTAAAAATAAAATATTGTATGAGTAACTACACGATATATTCAAGCATAGACATTAATCAGAAACATAAAACAATAAAGTTACCTCGATAGATAAAAATCACGAAATGACCTCTAATTTTCACATTTTTTCGATTCATCCTCGAAATGCTACAGGTTATTAGGACAAAAATTTGATAATTAATCATATTTATGCATGGTCGACAACTGTCACTACGGATTTTTTTTTATCCCTTTAGTTTTAGAGCTATTCCGCTTTTTCCGTGATCCGCGATTTGATACTTTTAATGCGCAAAATTCAACATCTCCTGTCGCATGTCACGCGAACTTCAGGCATATATTTGTTTCACAAATTTGGGCGGAGCCAACGTCAAAACTTTTTTGGCATGAGAGCTCTTAAGTAAATTTATTGGCACTAAAGGTCACACATGAATTCGTATCTTTGGTATAATAAAGCCTCACGTGTTAAAAGTGCTTTTTCATCACACTTGCTCCGAAAAAGTGGTTAGTCGTAATGTCCTAGATTACATCCACAGGCATTTTCATTACATTTTTTATGCTCGAAATATCTGAATATATTTTGCAATAGCTTAAAGTACCTACCTATAGAAAAAGCTAAACATTTGCAATTAAACTATATTTTACTAAATTCATTTTATAAATTCAAATTCTGCGGTATTGTTAGTATTTCGGAATTATTTATTTTATGTCCGATACAACATGGATATAGTAGACCAGAGGCTATCAGGAAACGCGTACGAAGATCGTGATTGAACATAAGTCCTTACTCCGAAACGTTAGCTTTCTAATCGAATTTTGACATAACTTTTATCGTAAAACTGACATAAGTAGTATGTATGAGCTTTGTTACGGACGCAGTTACGTAGTATCGTATTTGGTGATAGACTTCCACTCATAGACGAACGTAGAAACCAATTTGTTTTCTTTACAGACGAGTTTTCTTCCGATGACGACGTCGCTCTATTCTTCGAAGCCCTTGGATCTGGTTCGAAGGACGACCTGCCCGACTTCCAGAGCAGTGACGTAAGCTTTATAAAATCCTTTGAAGACATTGTCCAAATCCACATTTTGGTTCGATATTCCCGAAACTAAAAATATCTGTGTTGAGTAAAAAACCGACCTCAAAGATTTGTGGAATTAGGGTAAAACCGGGATAGATGTCCCACTTTTTGAAAGGGCCTCCTAATTTAAAAACTGTAGATTACCTTGAATAATTCCTATGGATATAACTAGTTTAATCTTTTACATCACATTAATACTTGATTTTATTGATCTAACATTTACTGATTTTGAAAAACTTTTTGCAAACCTATTTTTTTGAGGATAGATGCCTACCTATATGGATAGACGCCACACAATGAAAATACTAAGAAGGATAGATGCCATTTAGAATAAAATAGTAAAATTCATAATAAAAATTTTTCTGAGTGTTTTTTCTGAGTGTTCGATCTTTGTATTAATAATTATACAAACTATACTAACTATAAACTAGTATATAAACTAGTGGAGTAATTTCACAAAAAAATAATTGAATATCAATTCAATAAAAATTTAATTCATAATAAAATGTTTTATTTGTAATCTTTAATATACTGTATATACATATTACATCTTTAATAATAAATATATACATATTTAAAGTTACCACCTACTTCACTTCGTATTTTTGTAGCTATCAAAACATTCTATACAAAAATGTTTGCTGTTTAAACCATTTTAAAACTGTGAATAATTTGTCTTTTTGGTTCTTTTACTTACTTTTAAACTATTATCATTTACATGTCTTTTTCATTTACATGTTTTTTTCTTTTTTTGAAAACGAGGCACCTATCCCACTGCGGCATCTACCCCGGTTTTACCCTACATCTATTTGCCAAGTTTTATTGTAATCGGTTACCGGAAAGTGCGCAAAACCGGATTCATCCTCTAGTTAGCAATTGAAAGTTTATTAAAATAATACTTGCCGATGATATGAAATACCACCACGGATAATAATTTTGGTGCGGTTATCATTTTTGCACACCAAAACAGCACAATAAGGCATTTTTGTAAATATCTATTGCATAAACTTACACAGCATTACAGCTAAATACTAAAGCACTGTGAAATTCATAAATAAAATGTATTAATAATTCACAGAAGACGATTTCTACGTTTTATACAATTTACGCATTAACTAGGTAAATTAATTTACGCGAAAGAATTGACATAACCACACAGTACAAAGAGAAAATGGCGGACTGAACTCACATAGATCCTAAGAGTCGTATTCTAGAACTCTACTCAATGTTCAAGTCAGGACTTGAATATGATTCAAAGCACTAGAAATCATACTCAAGTCCTTGCCATTAGGGTCGTATTTCCAGTGCTTGAAATCATACTCAAGTCTGCTCAAATCCTGACTTGAGCATTGAGTACAGTTCTGGAATACGACCCTAAGAGTCGTATTCTAGAACTCTATTCAATAGCGTGTCAAACCTATCTAGTGCGCCCGAAGCGTACTCCAAAGCGTCCTAACACCCATCCTCGAGGAACTAGATTAGTCTTGGTGAATGTAGATGACGCTTCTCGCCATCGACCCTGTTTTGCCAAAATATCACTTTTTCATGACCAAATGTGGTAATAACAAAACGACTTCCGGTAAACGCTCCAGTTAGTATCTAAGGGTCGTATTCTAGAACTCTACTCAATGCTCAAGTCAGGATTGCACTGGCAACACAAGCACTGGAAATACGACTCTAATGGCAGGTACTTGAGTATGATTTCGAGTGCTTTAAACCATACTCAAATCCTGACTTGAGCATTGAGTAGAGTTCTAGAATACGACCCTAAGAGACCTATAGTTGGCACATGGTTGGCACGCTATGTGTGGCTAATTAACCACTTCTACTGTATTTTCTGTTCTGTGGTTTCGATAGTAATCGAGGC